CCAGGGGCTCAACAACATCCTACCAGGTACGGACAATTCTGGCTGTGGAGGATATTTTGGTTTATACTGAAACAGAATGTGACAAATACCATGTGCTAGATTTCAACTGTATTATAAAACTCTGTGTTACCGTTTTGTTTAGTCTTTAGTGTTTTCTTAAAAACTATTCTTTTTTTTCAAATACCAAGTTCTAATTTTTATTTTTATTTTTATTTTTTATTTTTTGTTGCGATCAATGTCATGCTTCGTGTGTTAAATAAATAATTTTATGCTATTAGTACGAACAAACAAGGGTATATTGTATATTTGGTAAACTAGAATAGTGAACTAGTTTTTGGATCCAGGTTTGGTGAGGTAATAGAAGGCCTCTTCAAATCATATGAGTACTTCAAATATTGCCACTGTCATTGATGTTTTATTTACCTTTTTTTTCGGTGGAAAGGTTGGTTGTTGGGAACAGCTTTAATGTATTTTGAAATGCCTTGAGGGCAAGCTTGGTATGAGGATAGTTAACATTATGTCATTTTTCCTGAAACATATTGTGAGAAGTGATCGTTTATTGTTTTTATCAATCACATAGACCTGTATAATGTACAATATACTATTTTTCTTACGAATAAGTAATTTTAAAAGCAGAAGATCTGGGTTCAACTATTCATGTTTGTGTAATCTTTATAAATGGGGTTCTTGGTCCATATATTTTCTTGATCCAAACAGGTAAATTTTTTTTCTCTATGTTGAAATTGTGTTTCTAGTTTCAGAGCCATCGCCATCCTCCACCCCGAAGGCTTCTCCAAGTCCTTTTGTGGCTGCTAGCCCAAGCCAACACTTGTTGGGTCCACCCCAAAATGAAACACATCATTCCTACCACCTTACATTGGTTCCAGGTATTGGCATTGCAGTAACAGCTGTCGCTGTAATGATGCTTTTAGTCTTGATAGTTCTCATTCGTAAGAAAAACAGAGAGTTACTGGATTCTGAGAGTATGGATCAAAAATCATCAAAATCCTTTCACTCGCCTCGTCCTATGAGGAAATTTCAGGAAGGTATAATTATCTCTCTTATTTTTCTCGTAATTTGTTTTCTTGATGACTTGTATTCATGAATGAAACATTTTGTTGGGGGTCCCATCTGAGATGGTATTTAAGTGCAGGTCCTCCATCTATGTTTCGGAAATTCAGCTACAAGGAGATAAAGAAGGCGACTGAAAACTTCAACACAATTATTGGACAAGGGGGATTTGGAACTGTGTACAAAGCTCACTTTAGTGATGGTTTAGCAATAGCAGTTAAGCGAATGAGCAAAGTGTCAGAGCAGGGAGAACATGAGTTCTGCCGAGAGATAGTGCTTCTAGCCAGATTGCATCATCGTCATCTTGTTGCTCTGAGGGGCTTTTGCAGCGAGAAGCGTGAGAGGTAGTTAATATATGTATGTTTCTGTATGTTTGTGGCCCTTATATACCTGCCCAAATGCGTTACGTGTTCCATGGCAGGTTTCTCATGTATGAATACATGGAAAATGGTAGCTTGAAGGACCATCTTCACTGTATGTTACTCCATCTCTTGAATTCCCTTCTGCTGAGAATAGTGTTCTAAAACTGGATTATGGAAGGGGATGACTTTATGGTGTTTTTCATAACGTTTGAAATCAATTCTTTCATCCTTTTGTCTCCCTCTCTGTTGCACTGTCACACACACTTGCGCTCGTGCAGAGTTATGACTCTATCTAACAACACAAGTTTATGAATTTTGGTGGAATCCCACTTTAGTATGGTGATTTTTACCTTTGGTATATTCAGGATTTCAAGAGCCGTGGAGGACAGCATAAAGTCATTCTCTTATTTTGTTTCAAAAGCCATATTCTTTTAAGGCCACGTATTCTGATCATGTTAATTCTAATCTTTATGCAGCTCCAAATAGGACTCCTCTAAGTTGGCGGACTAGAATCCATATTGCCATTGACGTAGCTAACGCTCTGGTAAACAGCAGGCTTATAGTCATCTTTTTACTGGCTTGTGTTCATGAAATTGATTTGCTTCTAATTTGTTCTTCCGTGCAGGAGTATCTCCATTTCTATTGTGATCCTCCTCTTTGCCATAGAGATATTAAGTCCAGCAATATCTTACTGGATGATAATTTTGTTGCCAAGGTAGAATATATGGCTGGATGCAGATGTAGCTTTTAATACTCAATCGGAATCTCTTTGTTCTCAAAACAACTTAACGAAGAAAGACGTTAACCCCTCTCATATGTGACTAAACTTTTTATTCCTCTTTAAATCGAATGCATTCAAGGAGGAAGATTACTTTTATAAGTTTTATGATATTCCTTCCGTGGCAGGGAATGCATGCCAATAACTCTTTTAAACTCTTGAAAGAAATCTCTCTACTTTTCTTTCCAGGTTGCAGATTTTGGCCTTGCACAGGCTTCAAAAGATGGTTCTATTTGCTTTGAACCAGTAAATACGGATATCCGGGGAACTCCAGGTTAGAGAATCATACAGATAGACTGACATATGAAGGTACAGTTTCTTTTTGCTAAAAACCTATGTTGAATGGATGGCTTCAGGTTATATGGATCCGGAGTACGTGGTTACCCAAGAGCTGACGGAGAAAAGTGATGTATACAGCTATGGTGTGTTACTGTTGGAGCTAGTAACTGCAAGGCGAGCAATACAAGACAACAGGAATTTGGTAGAATGGTCACAAAAGTACATGGAATCTGAATTAAGCTTACCTGATCTGGTGGATCCCAGTATACGAGATTCATTTGATTTGGATCAGCTCCAAACGATTGTGTCTATCATGAGATGGTGCACCCAGAAAGAAGGCCGTGATAGGCCTTCAATCAAACAGGTGCTTAGGCTTTTGTACGAGAGTTCAGACCCAATGCATAGTGGGTTCCTAGCAGCCGTGGAAGATGAAGAGTACGAAGAGGCGGAAGGAAGAGGAAGGACTAGTAAGGGGAAGATGCATAGGACTGACATGATTTTTCATAGCGGGGATGGGAGGTATCTCGCTTCTTCTTCGAGTACATCCAGGTCTTATTGTAGTAGAAGCTTCTTGCTTGAAAATGGCTCGCCACAATCCCCTCCGAATATTCTCTCCGTTTGAAGACTTCATTGATTCGAGACTGTGTTCCACGGATTGAGGTACGTTCAGTATTTCTTCAGCTCAACGTTTTGAAAAACTCATCAAACGGCTTCAAGGTGTTTACCAGTATGGACCAAAAGGCCAAAGCAAATTGTGAGGGCAGTATTGTTGCAAGCTTATGTCTTTTGCTTGTTAGAAGTTTTGGGGAAGCATATGAATATATATCCTTTTGCTTGTACTGTTGTTAAAGACTTGGACAATTTTGGAACAACATTAATTTGGTATGGACCATTTTCCTACGTACATGAAACCTTTTTTTTTTTTTTTTTTTTTCTTGTGTATATCGAAACCTTTAAGGGAAGGGATCCCATTTATTTATTTATTTTTTATTTATAAAAATGGGGATTAGTCGTTAGGCTCACACCGTATCGAATTTTAACGATCCGAACAGTTTACTTTTAAAGTTGTACCTCATAGATTATCCTTGCAAAATATTAGACAAATCGAAAATATTTAAGGCATCTAATTGAGTTCAAAGAAATTGACTTAACACTTTGTTCTCTAAGAAACATAGAAATTTCATTGTGATAATTAAATACGCAAACAATTTTGGATTAAATTAAATTTTTGTAAGGATGATTTATGATTCGAGACATGCAAAATGAACGGTTCGGATTGTTGAAGTTTGATATGGAGTAAGTCTCACAACTAATCTCCATTTTTGAAAAAAATGAGAATCGCTTCCTTAAAAGGCACGTCTGTGTATATATGGTTCGACATTGATTCAAGTTAATTGGCGATGGCAAAGCGAATAGAGTAATCAGATATAGTATGTTCATATGTTCATTCGCGTTCAAACTTTCCGGCGATGCGAAGACTGATCGATTATGCAGCACATCATGTCGCAGTAGCTCAACTCTGTCAATTTTTACTTGTAAATGTGAAGTCTTAGACTCGAATCTCTAGAATGAAGTTCGATATTAATTTTAAACTTTCATGTGCGGAACAATAAAACTTCATCAATCTAGTAGTATCAAGAGGAGTCTCATTACCATTAGGGAAAAAGCACTAGAACAACTTTTTATCAGGAAAAGAGGGCCAAGTTTAAACAAACAACAATACAAGCAACAAAGCACAATCACATTTCAAATCTTCAATCCAGGCAAATAAAAATGTAAACCAAAAGTAGAGGAACAGCAAACCAGAAACAACGCGGAAATATCCTCCGCAAAATCGATAACTCCGGCAAAATAAGCAACCCAGGAAAGTCATTCTCAGATTCCCCTCCATACAACAATCAATTCCTCCAACTTTATACATTTGAATTATAGGACCAGTTCAGGAAACCCTAATGAGGAGAGGCAAACAGGTTTCTTGTCTGCGTACGATTCGGATCCCAACAAAAGCTTCAAGTTTGGCAACATACTGAGTTTGTCGATTGAGACTGAAATGATGGACACTTAGCTTGACGAGGTTTGGCTGGGAGTGCAGTGGATCAGGTAGATTCTCTAACTTGACTTCCCGGCAAAACTAAGCTTGGGAAGATGCACAAGTTTTGAAAGTCGCATGTTTGCTGGAAATGATTCTCCCAGCGACAACAATTGAAGGTACTGGAATTTCTCTACGGTAGAAATCACTAAGTTCACCCGTTCTTCTAATAAGCCAACTATATTTAGTCAAGTAAACCAACCTTAATTATAGTCTTGGCCATGCCATATGGAAAGAGGTATGCAAGGGTTTAGTAGACGACGAAACTAGGGGTGTGCATCAAAGCTGGTGAACCGAGAAACCAGACTAAACCGATTTGGACCCATAAGTAGTTCGAACCAACATGTTAACTTACAAGGAATCAGTACCATTCTCATAATATGATTACTTATCAACCAAGGAACGAAAAAAATAAGCGGCATTCTTTAACATAAAACATTTATTGATGAGTTGAGAATACTTCCACATTATGTAGGTCAAGCTAATTTCAGTTTCAGTATAATCAAGCACAAAAGCAAAATACAAGTAAATTTACATCAACATCTCACATTACCAGTTTATCATCAGTTGCAAATGACTGGGCATGAATCGTGCATGGAAATTTCGATATTAGCTTCCCATCCATGCAGGACACGTTTAACACACAAAAAATAAAAGGTGCTTCCCAGCCTCATCAGTCATTTGGTTTTTCCCCTTTATGAAATTTGTAACTAAAAAAACATAAATATTCAAAAAGGAGAGGGAGAGACGCTGGGCTGTGGTGTGCGTACCTAAAAAGCATCGGAAAATTACTAGAAACAGCAACCAAACCACCTTAATTTTTATAGCCACCACTTGCAGCCAGGAACTTCCTCTTGCCAACTGGTTCTTCAAGCAACACCACCACATCTGTCACCTTCTCAAACAGTTGCTCTAGCTGATTAACTCCAAACTTCCGATAGTCCAGTGTCTTTTTATACCTCTGCTGGTAGACCTCCTCAAAGCAACCCAAGAAAATCCGACAAGAGTAGCTTACAAGAATCTCTTGCAGCTCATATTTGAAATTCTCCAGACTAGGATCATCAATTCCACATTCACCTACTGTTCTCACATTGGTCTTTCCTTGGCTCGTCTCATCGTATTCTTCTACAACAACTCTTTCCTCCTCTGAGAACTCATCTGATGAGCCATTGCCTGTAGTAATATCCATGCACTCTTCTTGAGTCCCCTTCCCTTTCTTGTTATCCCTCTTTAACAAAACCAAAGGTGGTGCACTAGTGCCCGTTTTACAGTTCCGGAGGTAGACAAATCTCTTGTTCCCTTTTCCCTCTACAGCCATTGTGTCACCCAACTTCCTGAACAGATTTACGAGCTTGAATGCACCATACTCTGATACATAAAGAGGCCTTCCAAAAACTTTCTGATACTCGGTTGGAACTTTCATAAGAGGCATGCAACCTCCCGATAGCTCAAGCAGTCTTACAAGCTGTCCCTTCAGACCATTTAGGTCCCCTGGCTGGACCCACCAAGTAGATTCATTTTGATCACCAGATGTTGTAGGCCCAGCAGAAACTTCATTGAGACCAGACGGGAGACTGTGTGACCTTGAAGCAGCAGGACAGCAAGGCACCATTACGGAACTACTGTTGAATTCAGATAGTGATTGTGAGACTATTGAAAAATCTCTCGAGTTGTAATAGCTTTGTGATATTCCCTTATACAAGATAGCTTCTTCTTCATTTTGGATATCCACATTATCATTGATATGGCAACCCATAAGATACCCAGAAATATCAGTGTGACCCCCACGAGGATGCATTAAAACTTTAGTAGAAGGCACAAAGCCGTCTCCACGAGCCACACTAGGCCAGTCCCACACGAACTTACCAGCATTGCTGAGAGCAGATGAAACACCAACTCCAGATGGGATTACCAGGATAACAATATATCCACGTTGCCCAAGTATATGAAGTGCTGGAGCAAAATCAACATCCCCGGAGATGAGCATGATGGAAGAAGGTGGAGGATTGTCAAGGGCAAACAGGAACATATCAACCAGGATAGCTTTGTCAGCAGCATCCTTTCTTCCATTTGGAACATCAATTAGTCTAACACCAGTTCTCTGGCATCCCTCGCGGAGTCGTCTAGGGAAGCCATTAAAGTCCCCATAAGCAGAAAACGTCATAACTGCTCCTTTAATTATGGGATGCACCTGTAAAGCCATTCTGATATTACCAGCTACATCTTCTGGACGGACATCACTAGGGACAGGGCAGTTCTCAATATCCCAAAAGATAGCCACAGGACCATCAAAGGAGCCTCGGCTGGGCTGGTTTGTTGGAGCTTGAAACATGTTGTGTTTGAATCTGATATATTTGCTCCTCTTTGCTCTGACAGTTCTGAAGGCACTATTGATGTTGATGTATATGGGAAAGCCATCGCAGTTCAAAACTCATAGAATCCTGCTTATGCAAATAGAAGAAAACAGAATAAGAATGGTCCTCAAAAGAATTATTAACAACAAGATTAAACAAAAGCAAAACCTGCATCCCAAAGTGTGTAGAATTTTAATACTTGAGCATAACTTTTCTACTAGTTACTGAAAAGCTGCGAGTGGAGTTAGACAGAATTAGATACAGACAACTACGGCCCCCAGTGTCTTAATAAGCATAATTTCAAAGGCGAATAATCACAGGGTGAAGGCCTCTTCCAAAATAAACCACACTGGTTTACCAAAGTGGAACCCAAAACAAGCAGCATTAGTCTTTCTCTTGTAAAAATGCAAATTAAACCAAAAGCGTACCAATTAAAGCGAATGAAGTGTACATTATCCCCACTGAACTACTTAATAGAGTTTGACTGAATGTACATCAAATTGTTCATTTCTCATTATTCTTATATTGCTGTTGTTTCTTGTTTAATGAATCTTCCTTGTTAGTCGAATATAATGATTAACAGTTAGGTAATACCGGACTTAAAACTAAAATCTTCGTTTAAGTTGGTAAGAAAAAAATATTAATAGAAGATGGTTAAATGAAACCTAGCCATCAATTACAACTGAGCCATGTCTATCGATCTTATGAAAACGAACAATGAATCGCTCGGCTTTGCTTACCCTTCCTTAGTTTCTATCTCTAACTCTCTAAACTTTCGTTTGCGCTTCTTTTAACAAAGACCAAAAGTAATCATGGTACTCGATTGACGTCTAAAATCTTATTTTCAGCCAAGCGCGATAGTAACAGTTGCAATTCGTAAACTTTTAGTGCCAGAAATCAACGTAAAATCTCCCAATCCGATCAAATCATCACCGAAATTTAACACCATGCATGGAATCAAAATTAGAAATTAAACATAAGAAATACAGAAAGAAGAAAAGGGTACCTCATACTTTGCCTGCCGCTGCTCGTCAAAGGCCAAAAAACTTAGATCCTAAATACCAAAAAGAAATCTGAAATTGAATCAGAACCCACACAAATTGGAGCCGAAAAAGCAGAAAATTGGATAGATAGAGAGCAAAAGTGGGAAGAAGGAAGGATGCTGGTTAATGGGTAATTGGGGATTTATGTGAGAAACTGAGAATTTGTAAGGAAACCGATGAGAATTTATATGAATTCGATTAGGAGGACTGACTAAAACTCGTACCTACTTTCTGAATTTCGAGCAAATAAAAACTGTAGATTTGGGCTTTGAAGTCGATGCCCAGAGAGAGAGAGAGAGAGAGAGAATTGTGATTTTTTGCGGGGTTTACTGCTGAAAGTCTAGAGACAATGCAATATGAGAGAGAGTTGAGGAGGGTCAGAGCTTTTTCATATTTCTGATAAAATTTCACGCGTATTTTGATACCGACATACAGCACCTTCCTAATTAGCACTTGCAATATTCTTTACAACATCTGAAAAATGCGTGCGCTTTTGTTTTTCAATGATTTTTTATTTATTTTTTCAAATTCAATGAAAATTTATTACTAGCTACAAAGATACGATTTACAAATTAATAGCCCAAAACTAGAAAAATGTTATAAATAGATAAAAGTATAGAAATAACATTTGCTAAGAGTGAGGACGAAGTAGGGCAAAATATCACACTGACAAAAAGAATTGCAGATATTAGAAAATGAAAGATACTGAGAGTATTATATTTCTTCATTTTCTCTTCTTGATGTTCTCCTCACATTGAACAACCGAAGTGCTATATTTATAGAGCCACCTCAACAAAAACTTACAAAATTTACTATTCACATGTGATACTTTACTATACATATATGGGCAAACATACCCACTGTTTACAACACTCCCCTTGGATGCCCACATATCAACATCAGTTGCCTTATTAAAACCTTGCTTGGAAAAACCGAGTGGGAAAAAACCATAGCGAAGGAAAAAGAGTACAACTTTACCCGGATGGTGTTGAGCATGCTTATGTTGCCTCGTTAAAACCTTGATAGGAAAAACCCAGTGGGAAAAATCTTAATCGAAGGAAAAAGAGTACAACATGCATGTATCATGGATGCTCCCCCTGAATTGTATCTCCCCTGATTCCGCATTCTTCAAATTTGTAAGCCGACGTAATCCGATTCCTTGCACTAACTTCTGAAATGTGCACTTTGGTAGAGATTTGGTGAACAAGTATGCTAAATTTTCATTGGAATGGATTTATCTGACTTCAATAACTTCACCCTTCTGAAGCTCATGTGCACTGAAAAATCTTGGAGATATATGTTTAGTCTTATCACCTTTGATGAATCCTTCCTTCATCTAGGCGACACAGGCTGCATTATCTTCATGGATGACAGTTGGAGTGTCTATCTTTGAAGGTAGAACACATGAATTCCGGATGTGATGGATCATTGATCTTAACCAAGAACATTCACGACTTGCTTCATGTAAAGCAATTATTTCCGAGTGATTGGAAGATGTAACAACTAGTGTTTGCTTCGTTGATCGCCATGAAATTGCAGTATCTCCATAAGTGAACACATATCCATTTTGTGAGCGGGTTTTATGCAGATCGGAGAGAAAACCAGCATCTGCGTATCTAACAAGGATCTGTTCATTTGTGGGCTTGTCTGAGTAAAAGAGACCCATATCTGTTGTCCCATGAAGGTATCGTAGAACATCTTTGACTCCCTTCCAATGACGAATTTTTGGAGCAGAGCTGTACCTGGCTAACAAGTTAACTGAAAAAGCTATATTTGGTCTAGTACATTGTGCTAAATACAATAAAGCACCTATTGCGCTCAAATATGGTACTTCTGGACCAAGGACCAGTTCATCATCGTCTTTTGGACGAAATGGATCTTTCTTAATGTCTAAAGAACGAACGACCATTGGGGTGCTAAGTGGATAAGCCTTGTCCATGCCAAATCGCTTTAGTATTTTTTCAATGTAGGTTGATTGATGGACCAAAATTCCATTAACACAATGCTCAATCTGCAGGCCGAGACAATATTTGGTTTTTCCAAGGTATTTCATTTCAAATTCACTTTTCAGATAGTCAACAGTTTTGTTGAACTCTTCAGGGGTTCCAATTAGGTTCATATCATCGACATATACTGCTACTATAGCAAATTCAATATTTGATTTCTTAATGAACACACAAGGGCAGATGACATTGTTGGCATATCCTTCCTTAATCAAATACTCACTGAGACGATTATACCACATTCGCCCAGATTGTTTCAGCCCATATAATGATCACCTTAATTTGATTGAGAACATACCTTGTGGTTTGTTAGTTGCTTAAGGCAACTTAAGTCATTCTGGGACTTTCATATATATGTCAGTATCTAATTCTCCATATAGATACGCGGTGATGACATCCATAAGTCGCATGTCAAGTTTTTTTGAAATCACCAAACTTATTAAGTAACGGAACGTAATTGCGTCAATTACAGGAGAGTATGTCTCTTTATAATCAACTCCAGGTCTTTGTGAAAAACCTTGTGCAACGAGTCGTGCTTTATATCTTGCAATCTCGTTTTTCTCGTTGCGTTTCCTTATAAATACCCATTTGTAACCTACGGGGTTCACACCAAGCAGGGTTTGGACTACTGGTCCAAAAACACTTCGTCTTTCCAAAGAATTTAATTCTGCCTGGATTGCATTTTTCCACTTAGGCCAATCTGGTCTCTGTCTGCATTCATCAACAGAGCGGGGCTCAATATCATCTCTTAATATAATTTCAGTGGCTATTGTAAATGCAAATATGTCGTCGATGATTATTTCATTTCGATCCCACAATTCATTAGTACATGCATAATTTATGGATATTTCTTTGCTTTCATGTACTTCTGTCTCTTCAGGGATAGGTGTCTCATCAATGACATTTTCTTTTTGTGGAAGTACAGAATCATGAATTGTGGATTTATCATTCATTTTCTTTTCTTGAATGATTTCATTTGGGTTCAACTGTGCCCTCATCTTTCTCTTTTAAGGGGTTGAATCTTTTGAACCTGGGGGTCTACCACGCTTCAGGCATGCACTGGATGAATCATTCGCTGCCACTTTATTTTGTCCAACAGGGACATCAATTCTTGTAGGTGCGTTTGTAGCTGGTATATGTGACTATGTCACTTTCGAAGCATCATTAAATGCATCTGGCATTTGATTAGCGATACCTTGAAGATGAACGATCCTTTGCACTTCATTTTCACATTGAGTGCTTTGTGGATCAAAATGAGATAAGGTGGGAACAACCCATGTCAGTTCTTGCCATTCTTCTGGAATGGTCTTTTCTCCCCCTAATGACGGGAAAATTGTCTCATCAAAAGGACAATCAGCAAAACGAGCTATAAACATATCACCAGTCAAAGGTTCCGAATATCTAATGATAGATGGTGAATCAAAACCCACATAAATTCCCAGTCTGCGCTGAGGTCCCATTTTAGTTTGTTGTGGTGGTGCAATAGGCATATAAACAACACAACCAAAAACTCGTAAATGTGAAATGTTTGGCTGATGTCCAAACACGAGTTGTATTGATAAATATTGGTGGTTGGCTATGGGTCTCAATCTAACCAATGATGCAGCATGTAATATGGCATGTCCCCATACAGAGACTGGCAATTTCGTTTTCATGAGTAAAGTGCGGGTTATTAATTGAAGCCCTTGATAAATGCCTCTGCTAAACCATTTTGAGTATGGACATGAGGAACATGATGTTCAACATTAATGCCTAATGCCATGTAGTAATCATCAAAGGTTTGAGACGTAAATTCACCAGCGTTATCAAGTCGAATGGACTTAATGAGATGATCTAGGAACTGTGCTCGCAACTTAATTATCTGAGCTTGAAGTCTCGCAAAAGCTACATTTCAAGTAGACAATAGGCAAACATGTGACCATCGAGTAAATGCATCAACCAAAACCATAAAATATCGAAATGGTTCACAAGGTGGTTGAATAGGTCCACAAATATCACCTTGAATTCTTTGCAAAAATAATGGGGATTAATTATCAACCTTTAGTTGTGATGGTCTAATTACCAACTTCCCTTGGGAACAAGCCTTACAAGGGTTATCATTGAGACATCAATATGTCTACTCAATAATGGATGTCCATTAGAGTTGGTAATGATTCTACGCATCATGGTAGATCCTGGATGACCTAGATAGTCATGCCAAAGCATGTAAACCTTTGAATCAATGAACTTCTGGTTCATGACAGTATGTGCCTCAACTGTCTTTATGTATGTATAATACAATCCACTCGATAAACCATGCAACTTCTCCAATATACGCTTCTGGGTATCATTGGAGGTAATGCATAAATATTCCACATGTTCTACACTTTTCATTTCAATGTGGTATCCATTTAGACGTATGTCTTTAAAACTCAACAAATTTCGAATGGATCGAGTAGCGTATAATGCATTCTGTATGGATAATATTGTTCCATTTGGTAACATAATTTGGGCTTTTCTTGAGCCTTCAATTACATCTGATTGCCCTGATATTGTTGTTACCTTTACTTTTGCAAGTACCAAATTCGAGAAATACTTTCGATCTCGAAGTATTGAATGCGTGGTTGCACTGTCTACAAGACAAAAGTCTCCGCCATTGATCTTGTTTTGAGAATAACCATAATTTTTATCCATGATCTCTGAGTAAAGAAAAAGCAGTTTATTCATATTGGAATACTACTTTTATTGAATTGAAAATGCGAGCATTAAACCACAAGTACAAATAACAAGAGTACATTAAACATAAATAATTCAATCGGACCCATAAACTTCATTCCCTATTTCATTAATAAAGTCTGTAGTATCCAGGTGGATTGTGTTTAACTGTCCTGATAAATTGATCACTGGATCAGGTGTTTCCATTGGTTGAGCCTGGTCGAAGAAATTGATCTTGACACCCTTCTCCTTGAAAGAGGCTTGATACAGCTCCACTAGATGTTTTGGGGTGCGACAAGTACGCGCCCAATGTTCGTTGCCACCACACCTATGGCAAACTCCTTCATCATTTCTAGGAGTGTTAGTATAAGCTTTTCCTTTCTGACGATTTGCATTTTTAAAGCTCGGGCCTAAATTATGCCTTGGAACCTGGTTGTGAAACTGGACACCATGGTTCTTGCCTTTCCCATTCTACCGGCCTCGCTTGTGGCCACGTTCTCGTTTGTAATTATTGCCACCGGAGGATATGGTATTCCTTTCAAGGGAAACAACATTCACTTCTGGGAACGATGCTGATCCAGTAGGTCGGGAATTATGGTTTTTCATCAGGAGCTCATTGTTCTGTTCAGCTACCAGGAGCACAGATATCAGCTGGTTGTATTCAGTGAAGCCTCGCGCTCTATACTG